GCAAAATGAAGCCATATCGTAGATAGGCGTCACTCGAAAGAGGGTGGTTGGTTGATGTTTGATTAAGCGAATAGCATTGTGTGTGTATGTATGTATATGTGTGGTTTTCTATTTTATTGGTGGGGAAAAACCACAAAACACACTGACAAGATGTAGTTTGAGGAGTTTGGGGACAATTCAAAAATAAAACCCATTATTTTGCTGTGCAAGAATGTTGTCATCGCTACTTGGTCAAGTGGATTTTTGGTTAAACCACAATTGTTCAGAAAAAATAGAATGCCTTCAAAACAGGTCCTTTTTTTAACTGGCCTGTAACAAAAATATTTTTAAACCAGTGATCGGAGCAGTATAGTCGGACGGGGCCGATATGGTCTTTCACAAAAATATAACTTTCTGTGGTTCTATATTCTGAGCTTGGGCAATATTTCGCGATATTTGCACACTCTTGACCGATTAGAGGTCAACCAATGTTACTAATATTCAGTACAACACTTCTAATGTTTTGGCCATATTCCCTTCACCGTGGGTTGTGTTGCGATGTTCGGCTTTCAATTATGGCCTATGGATAGACTCGAAATAATACAAAAAAATAAGTTCCCGGTCCAGTTCATACCAAAATTATTATCTGATTTACCATACATGGATCCTCATGAAAAACTTCAAAGCGATCAGAACTATATTTGCGCCCTCTAATGTGGTAATGGGTTACTAAATAATATCTGAATACGAAAGAACCTGTAAATATTTAAGTGTAACTCCCACATATGAGAACATACGAACATAACTCCTTCGGGAGTTAATATATTCGCCATAGAATACAAATATTGTAATTTTTCACACAAAAGTCAGGGTCCATTTGCCTGCTAAATATTGACATATCTTTATCAAAACAGGCATGCTCATGCTTTGGTCAACCCCCTACTCCATGTAAAATTTCACGATGTTCGGGCCATAATTGCGGCCGGAAAAACCGATAAAAATTAAGTTTTTTGTCCATTTCATCCCCTAAATATAATTCAATCTTTACCAAAAGCAATAGGGGTCTTCATTGACCTACATGCAAAATTTCGTGAAGATTGGTCCATAACTGTGGCCCGTATCGTGTTTACAAATTATAATGGACAGACGGACGGACACACATGTCTAGATCGACTCAGCTAGTCGAGATATGACGATCGGTATACTTAAAGGATGGTCTAGGAACAACATTTTGCGGCGTTACAAACTCTTGGGGCTGCACATAGCCATAATACCCTGACAACATAGTTGTGTAGGGTATAAAAATCCACGCCTTGTGGTAGGCCTTGAAAAAAAATTTCTTTAAAAAATCCACGCCTTGTAGTAGGCCTTGAAAAAAAAATTCTTTAAAAAATCCACGCCTTGTGGTAGGCCTTGAAAAAAAAAATTCTTTAAAAAATCCACGCCTTGTGGTAGGCCTTGAAAAAAAAATTCTTTAAAAAATCCACGATTTGTGGTAGGCCTTGAAAAAAATATTCTTTAAAAAATCCACGCCTTGTGGTAGGCCTTGAAAAAAATATTCTTTAAAAAATCCACGCCTTGTGGTAGGCCTTGAAAAAAATATTCTTTAAAAAATCCACGCCTTGTGGTAGGCCTTGAAAAAAATATTCTTTAAAAAATCCACGCCTTGTGGTAGGCCTTGAAAAAAATATTCTTTAAAAAATCCACGCCTTGTGGTAGGCCTTGAAAAAAATATTCTTTAAAGGCCTTGAAAAAAATATTCTTTAAAAAATCCACGCCTTGTGGTAGGCCTTGAAAAAAATATTCTTTAAAGGCCTTGAAAAAAATATTCTTTAAAAAATCCACGCCTTGTGGTAGGCCTTGAAAAAAATATTCTTTAAAAAATCCACGCCTTGTGGTAGGCCTTCAAAAAATATTCTTTAAAAAATGCACGCCTTGTGGTAGGCCTTGAAAAAAATATTCTTTAAAAAATCCACGCCTTGTGGTAGGTCTTGATAAAAATATTCTTTAAAAAATCCACGCCTTGTGGTAGGCCTTGAAAAAAATATTCTTTAAAAAATCCACGCCTTGTGGTAGACCTTGAAAAAAATATTCTTTAAAAAATCCACGCCTTGTGGTAGGCCTTGAAATAATATTCTTTAAAAAGTCCACGTCTTGTGGTAGGCCTTGAAAAAAATATTCTTTAAAAAATCCACGCCTTGTGGTAGGCCTTGAAAAAAATATTCTTTAAAAAATCCACGCCTTGTGGTAGGCCTTGAAAAAAATATTCTTTAAAAAATCCACGCCTTGTGGTAGGCCTTGAAAAAAATATTCTTTAAAAAATCCACGCCTTGTGGTAGGCCTTGAAAAAAATATTCTTTAAAAAATCTACGCCTTGTGGTAGGCCTTGAAAAAAATATTCTTTAAAAAATCCACGCCTTGTGGTAGGCCTTGAAAAAAATATTCTTTAAAAAATCCACGCCTTGTGGTAGGCCTTGAAAAAAATATTCTTTAAAAAATCCACGCCTTGTGGTAGGCCTTGAAAAAAATATTCTTTAAAGGCCTTGAAAAAAATATTCTTTAAAAAATCCACGCCTTGTGGTAGGCCTTGAAAAAAATATTCTTTAAAAAATCCACGCCTTGTGGTAGGCCTTGAAAAAAATATTCTTTAAAAAATCCACGCCTTGTGGTAGGCCTTCAAAAAATATTCTTTAAAAAATGCACGCCTTGTGGTAGGCCTTGAAAAAAATATTCTTTAAAAAATCCACGCCTTGTGGTAGGTCTTGATAAAAATATTCTTTAAAAAATCCACGCCTTGTGGTAGGCCTTGAAAAAAATATTCTTTAAAAAAATATTCTTTAAAAATCCACGCCTTGTGGTAGGCCTTGAAAAAAATATTCTTTAATAAATCCACGCCTTGTTGTAGGCCTTGAAAAAAATATTCTTTAATAAATCCACGCCTTGTTGTAGGCCTTGAAAAAAATATTCTTTAATAAATCCACGCCTTGTTGTAGGCCTTGAAAAAAATATTCTTTAATAAATCCACGCCTCAGTTGGCCCTTGAAAAATATTCTTTAATAAATCAACACCTTATTGTAGGCCTTGAAAAAAATATTCTTTAATAAATCCACGACTCAGTGTGGTAGGCCTTGAAAAAAATATTCTTTAAAAAAAAAAATCCACGCCTTGTGGTAGGTCCTTGAAAAATCAAAAAATATTCTTTAAAAAATCCACGCTGTTTTATTTCTTGTGGTAGGACACCTTGACAATTATGCCACTTACTGCCGAAAATAGTTGTTCTTGGAAAAAATCCAGAAATCTGCAACAAAATATATTATATCCAAATGTATGTCGTTTTCCGCATTATTTTTTCGGAAATTCCAAACAAATTTTGATTTAATAGCTAAAGTGCTGGCCAATAGACTAAGGAGAGATGGCGAGTAAAAATATTTAGATGAAAGGGAGGAGAAAAATAATATCTGTACGATTTGGATTTTTTAAAAATATTTTTTGCCATTGCCTACCATAAGGCACACATTTTTTCAAGGCGTGGAATTTCCAAAAATATTTTCAAGACCTACCTAAGGGGGTGATTTTTTAAAAATATTTTTATAAGGCCTACCTTAAGGCCTGTTTTTTAATATTTTTATAGGGCCTGCCTTAAGTCGTCTATTTTTTTTTTTAATATTCTTTTAGAATTTCCTAAGCATTAGATATGTGTCCATAATATCCTGGCACTCTATCCACACCATATTCACCCTTTTTGCGTCAACAACATCCATTCAATTCCCGTTACCCATAATTCCTCATCACATGATGATGATGATGAAATAATATCCCCCAATCTTTCTCAACTTTTCTAATATAATTTTCCAAAACATTACTCGTTATAATTGTGTTAAAAATTCTCCCAATTTTCCTTAGCCCTCCCAAATAAAAAAACTGAAATATCCATTTCAACTTTTCCCATTCATATTAAATATCCTTTCACTAATTTGAAATATTACGCTTACTCGATACTTCAGTAGCATCAGCGGCAGCAATAAACTGAAGCTATCTGGTTTCCACTTCCACAGCATCTATTTCCGAACTCAGGATGTGATGTAGGAGAGGGTTTTGACGGAAGAAGAAGAACAACAACAAAAAACACAAATTAGGAAGCCATTGTGAAAGGCAATGGCTTTTAATTGCTTTGGTTGTTCTTCGAGCATGTGAAATGAGATGAATGGGACAATAGTGATGAAGTGGGAGAGAGGAAGCGAAAGTGAGCGTAAGAAGGGATGTTTGAAGATGCAAACGAGTGAGAGTGCACACTACAAGTGGTGCTAAGTGCAATTAATTGAATGTTACTGCAATAAATGAATGGGGATTTTTTTTCGATTTGCGAAAAGGAATGCAGACCGAATGATGAGGTGAAAGCAAAATTAAAAAACATTCCCTCGCATTCAAAAAGGAAATTAGAAAAATCACTTAAAGCTAAATTTCGTATTCTGTGCAGGAAATTCTTTTAAATAGCCATTGTCGGATGTATTTAACGTGTTGGATATTGAAACCATTCAATGAAAGCGGATATACAATTGCAATGGCTAGCGTATTATTGCTGGCGTAAAGTATACGCATCAGTGGAGAAATAGAAATACATACAATATAGTATACTTTTAGGAGGGATTTGATTGATTTTTATTGTGGATAAGATATTCAAGAAGGAAATGCAAGAACATTTCAGAATTAGATAATTAAATTTTAATTAATAATAAATAAGAGAGAATAAATAAAAAATCACTAATAAATATTCCACCCAAAAATAGCTGCCACATATTTGCTTAGTGCAAAGATGTAAAAATTATACAAAATTCGTTTAAAAAAATAATTTTCAATATTGATTTCCGTAATTAAAAAATTAATCCTTGTCCCTGAATCATCGCATACCTAACTATCCTGATAGTCTCTAAATGTCCCGCAATATTTTCAGTGTTTTATTTAATTCTTAACATCTTTTAAATTATTTCTAACTTATTCTCTCTCTTTGTTCGTTACAGTCGCGTCGACAATCAGTCAGCTTCACCGCCATGCCACCCGGCGTTTTAGCCAATGACAGTCGTAACAATTCCACCGATGACATACAAATCGCTTTAGCACCCCACATACAAACCTATTTAAGTCAAACGGGTCGTCGTCATTCCTGCTGCAGCGTCATGTTACCCGTCGCATTTGAACGTGCCGCCTCCAATTCATGGCTGGATCCGAAATTCGATTCGGCCGTACTGGAGGGACAATTTCAGACCAGTGTGTTTTCACATATACGAATGAGATATCGGTGAGTACGAAATAAAATGGAAGATTTTGTTTATTTACCAGTCCACTCATTCTAGATGCCTTACTATTTTTATACCCTTCACCACACTGTGGTACAGGGTAATATGTCTTTGTGCATATATTTGAAACAGGCAAAAATAATCGAGATAGACCCATGGTTCCTTTTGAGAATATGCATAGAATCATTTTCTGAGTCGATTTATGCATATCCATACGTCCGTCTGTATATGTTAAATTGTAATCAAAGAACAAGTCGCATTTGTTATTCGAATTGGAAGAAATTTGACACAGCTCATTCATTTGGCCCAATGACGAACCCTATTGAAATTGGCAAAATCTGTTCAGATTTAGATATAGCTCTCATATATATTTTCGTCCGATTTAAGATAAACGTTGCAACAAATTCCACGAAATTTGACACACCGTAATTAATTAGGTCTAGAATGACGTGTGCTAAGTTTCCTGAAAATCGGTTCAGATTTAGATATGTGATAGACCAACCTAAGATCCACTGCAGACTTACATTTTTTCTCCCGATTTCAGGGAAACTTGCCAGAGATTAATTTATATTACTTCAGCACGTTGTGTCAATCGGCCTAGCCATGGATCTTTTCACGAAGCTTAGCAACATCATTTTAGACTTAATTCAATACCCTATACCAAAATTCGTGCAAATCGAAAGATATATAGGAACTGTGGTGCACAATTTGCATTCGGGTTCGTCCTTGTGCCAAATAAGTGACCTATGCCAAATTTCATCTTGAATAAATATTCTTAAAAAATCAAATCTCAAGAGTACTCTGAAAGCTATTCCATTCAGAGAGGAATATCCATAGAAGATTTAATTGTCATATTTTATTTTTAAAATTTTCTAAAAGCATTTTCAAATTCAAGATTATTAATAGAAATGCCCTATATTTTTTCTATGGGAATCCTCTCATCTGTCGAGAGAAATAAATTTCAAATCATAGTTTGGGACATTGCTGCGTATAAGCATTGGTAATGAGTATACGCAATGAGGGAATCTTTGGGTTTTAACTATTAAACCAAAACAAAGCATAGAATTAAAAAAAAACATTCTTATGAAATCCATGTCTTTAGACCTCAAATAAATATTCTTAAGTAATACACGCTTGTAGTAGACCTTGAACAAATATACATGAAAAAATATTTTAAAAAATAACCATTCAATAGACATCAAGCACATATTTTTTTAAAAATAATCCACAAAGGTAATAGACCTTGAAAAATACTATTTAAAAATTAGCACATTTAATTGCCCTAAAAATATTTTTTAAATCCTTGCCTTGCGAATAAACTGACATTGGTGCGTATAACTATTGACAAACAGTATACGCAATCATGGAATATGTTGGTTTTAAATATTAATCAAAAAACAATGCACCCTATGACACACTTTAAAGACATATTCTTTAATAATCCATGCTTGTAGTATGCCTTAATCAAATATTATTAAAAATCAAACTAAATATCCCAAATAGATCTTCAACACATATTAAAAAAATCCCATTTTATATACATCGAACAAATGTTCTTAAAAATCCACAACGGAAAAATGCTGTTTAAAAATTCACCACTTTAGTATCCCTTGAAAAAATAATCTTTAAAAATGTACAACTTGTGGAATACCTTGCAGATATATTCTTAAAAAGTTCATATCTGAATTTTTTTTTCTATTTAGAGAGAAATTTCTATAGGAGGTTTACCTGTGTTATTTTATATTTACATGTCTTTAATACATTAAAAACCATTTCATATTATTCATTCTTTTTTAGAATGATTCTAGAAGTCCTTCAATATATAAGAAGTCTCTATAGGAACCCTCTAAATAGTCACATATTGAGAGAAAACTAATTTAAACCATATTGGGGTCATGTATGCGTATACGTATTGACAAACCGTATACGCAATAGGAGAATCTTTGGATTTTTAATGCAAAATATTGCAAATAAATAATTAGAATTAAGGTAAGGAATAGAAAGTTATACTAAATTATAGAGTCAAAATAATTCTATAGAATAGAATACTCAGAAAGTATGTTTCTTAGATATTTTTATCATGATCGCTATACAATTTTAGTTTAAAAAACACTGCCAAGGATCCATTAAATTTAAATTAACAAACTTTAATATCCCACTAACCGTACTTACTGCAACAACAATACAGTTTTTCTTGTTTGCCTTCATTTCCTTTTGTAATTTTCCTTTATTTCGCAAACCACCCGGGAGGTCGTTGCCACCAATTCACACCAACCAACATTGGAAAGGTAGAAAACTGAAACAACAAAATCAACCCATTTCTTTAATGGTTAACATTGCAACACTACCTCAACAAAATAGTACGAGTATTTTATGGTACTTTCTGTGTTAACCTATTAAGAATTTAAAGCATAAACCAGCCCCCAGTAGACATGTCCATATTACCAACATGTTTAAATACAATGTTCACGTAAAATAACGATCTGACTATCCTACGGTAAACACCTCTAACTATCACTAGGACGACGACAATGGCACAACAATATGCATTATAATGCAAAAAGTTAAGTCATAAAGTTAACAGGAACCAAAAGAGAGAGAGAGAGAGAGAGAGAGAGAGAGAGAGAAAAAACATTACTTATTAAAGTACTGTGTACAGAGCACAAATACATATAGGGAATAAATACACACATACATACATATAGACATATGTTAGGAATGTGTTGTAAATGTGTGTCTATATAGTCATGTTTATAGTTGTTTGGTTTTTGGCCGCCTGGGGAGTTAAACATATGCCAGGAATATTGTACAAGTTTTATGTTTAGAGCAAATGGAAAAAATGGAACGTATCCACGCCTTGTGGTAGGCCTTGAAAAAAGTATTCTTTAAAAAATCCACGCCTTGTGGTAAGCCTTGACAAAATATTCTTTAAAAAATCCACGCCTTGTGGTAGGCCTTGAAAAAAGTATTCTTTAAAAAATCCACGCTTTTGTTGTACGCCTTGAAAAAATATTCTTTAAAAAATCCACGCCTTGTGGTAGGCCTTGAAAAAAGTATTCTTTAAAAAATTCACGCCTTGTGGTAGGCCTTGAAAAAAGTATTCTTTAAAAATCCACGCCTTGTGGTAGGCCTTGAAAAAAGTATTCTTTAAAAATCCACGCCTTGTGGTATGCCTTGAAAAAAGTATTCTTTAAAAATCCACGCCTTGTGGTAGGCCTTGAAAAAAGTATTCTTTAAAAATCCACGCCTTGTGGTAGGCCTTGAAAAACATATTCTTTAAAAATCCACGCCTTGTGGTAGGCCTTGAAAAACATATTCTTTAAAAAATCCACGCCTTGTGGTAGGCCTTGAAAAAAGTATTCTTTAAAAATCCACGCCTTGTGGTAGGCCTTGAATGAAGTATTCTTTAAAAATCCACGCCTTGTGGTAGGACTTCAAAAAAGTATTCTTTAAAAATCGATGCCTTGTGATTATTCCTTAAAAAAAGTATTCTTTAAAAATCGATGCATTGTGGTTATGCCTTGAAAAAATTAACTATCTCCCACTGTACCTCATAGTAACCAAACACAGACAATAACATTTTAACATTGTTGGGTAATTAACAACATGTATTTACAATTAAAGCTTAACATACAGACAGAAAATATCCCCCAGGTTAGCAATTGGCAAATAGGCCCTGGAAAAAATGTGTCGCCATTTCCAGACTTCAGACAATAACAACAACTACAGCAAAATAAAACGTATCATGGGAAATTAATCAGAGGTGGCAAATAAATGGCGTATGTAATTACACATCGGCTCATGGTGAATGAACAGTAATTAGTTCATATTGTTCGGAATTAAGCTTTAAATATTATTTAAGACCCGTTTAAATTTGAAATAAGTTGTAGGGATATTTACTTTCGTATCCAATTCGTTTACCCCAGATTTTGACCGACTCCCAGAAAGACTATATTTCATATTCAGAATTATTTTCTTTGTGTTCCTTATACGCCCTCCCCTTAACCGAGCTTCTTCGTAGTGATGGGTGTTTCCTCATGCCGTTTCCCTCTGCCATGCCTGCTTCCAGTTGCCTTTGAAGGTTTTTTCATATTACCTACCTTACCTTGCAACTTCCGACAATTATCAACATTGTGGTATGATGGTCAAGCATTAATTTACCACATCACTTCCCCCTTCTCCCCCACAACTTGTCTGCCAATAATGAAGGTTAGTTAGTAGATAGGTTTACCCTTTAGTTAATGATGTCACACCACCCTGAATAGTTAATACTTCCTTAGTTACTCGTTTTTCCTTATTAACATTTAATCTTAAGAAAATTCTAAAGTGTTTTTCTTATTCTTCCTCCCCTTCTTTTTACTTCAACATATTTTACAGCATTTATTTTATTTATTTTTTTGTTTTGTTTTTCTTATTAAATTCTCTGATACTCTGTAGAAAACTTTTAATTGCTGCTAATTAGAAATAATAAGTTTCTGTGGTGGTGGTGCTGGTGGTGAGGCGGAGGAAATTAGTTTAGATTACTTCAAATAACTAATGATCGACACGAGTAGACATTTTTATGGTGACAGTTAACTTTTTTTAATATTTCATAATTTCAACTTCTGTCACGTCTCCGAATCGCTCATTATGGAGGATTATTTCTTTAGACACCATTTGAGTTACTGGTTTTCTCATTAAATAAGTTATGATGATACTTAAGTTTAATAATGTTAAAATGAAACATTTAAAATCAATTTAATAGGCCAATACATAATTTTTAAATTTTTTATGGTAGGCTAAGAAAAACTAGTTTTAAAAATCTACGCCTTATGGTAGGCGAAGAAAAACTAGTTTTAAAAATCCACGCCTTATGGTAGGCCAAGAAAAACTAGTTTTAAAAATCTACGCCTTATGGTAGGCGAAGAAAAACTAGTTTTAAAAATCCACGCCTTATGGTAGGCCAAGAAAATCTTGTATTATAAATCCACGCCTTATGGTAGGCCAAGAAAAACTAGTTTTAAAAATCCACGCTTTATGGTAGGCCAAGAAAATCTTGTTTTATAAATCCACGCCTTATGGTAGGCCAAGAAAAACTAGTTTTAAAAATCCACGCCTTATGGTAGGCCAAGAAAATCTAGTATTATAAATCCACGCGTTATGGTAGGCCATGAAAAACTAGTTTCAAAAATACACGCCTTATGGTAGGCCAAGAACAACTAGTTTTAAAAATCCACGCCTTATGGTAGGCCAAGAAAATCTAGTATTATAAATCCACGCCTTATGGTAGGCCAAGAAAAACTAGTTTTAAAAATCCACGCCTTATGGTAGGCCAAGAAAATCTAGTATTATAAATCCACGCCTTATGGTAGGCCAAGAAAAACTAGTTTCAAAAATACACGCCTTATGGTAGGCCAAGAAAAACTAGTTTTAAAAATCCACGCCTTATGGTAGGCCAAGAAAATCTAGTATTATAAATCCACGCCTTATGGTAGGCCAAGAAAATCTAGTATTATAAATCCACGTCTTATGGTAGGCCAAGAAAAATTAGTTTTAAAAATCCACGCCTTATGGTAAGCCAAGAAAAATTAGTTTTAAAAATCCACGCCTTATGGTAGGCCAAGAAAAATTAGTTTTAAAAATCCATGCCTTATGGTAGGCCAAGAAAAATTAGTTTTAAAAATCCACGCCTTATGGTAGGTCAAGAAAAACTAGTTTTAAAAATCCACGCTTTATGGTAGGCCAAGAAAAACTAGCTTTAAAAATCCACGCCTTATAGAAGGCCAAGAAAAAATAGTTTTAAAAATCCACGCCTTATAGTAGGCCAAGAAAAAATAGTTTTAAAAATCCACGCCTTATGGTAGGCCATGAAAAACTAGTTTTAAAAATCCACGCCTTATAGTAGGCCAAGAAAAACTAGTTTTAAAAATCCACGCCTTATAGTAGGCCAAGAAAAACTAGTTTTAAAAATCCACTGCTTGTGGTAGGCCATGAAAAACTAGTTTTAAAAATCCACTGCTTGTGGTAGGCCATGAAAAACTATGTTTAAAAATCCACGCCTTATGGTAGGCCATGAAAAACTAATTTTAAAAATCCACGCCTTATGGTAGGCCAAGAAAAACTAGTTTTAAAAATCCACTGCTTGTGGTAGGCCATGAAAAACTATGTTTAAAAATCCACACCTTATGGTACCTAAGAAAAACTAATTTTAAAAATCCACGCCTTATGGTAGGCCAAGAAAAACTAGTTTTAAAAATCCGCGCCTTATGGTAGGCCAAGAAAAACAAATTTTAAAAATCCACGCCTTATGGTAGGCCAAGAAAAACAAATTTTAAAAATCCACGCCTTATGGTAGGCCAAGAAAAACAAATTTTAAAAATCCACGCCTTATAGTAGGCCAAGAAAAACAAATTTTAAAAATCCACGCCTTATGGTAGGCCAAGAAAAACAAATTTTAAAAATCCACGCCTCCTCGTATTAGGTCTTAAAAAATCTGACAAATGTATTTTAATATTTTATCTTTTTTCTTTCTCCCCCTCTTTTCAGATTTGCCCTCTCCTATATTCTACTCTGTTCGCTGGCATGGTTCCTGTATTTCCTTGTCGATGGTGGTTCCGAAGATTTTTGGCGTCCTATATCAAGTTCCTTTTCACTGCTATCGCTAATAACAATCATGGCCATGTGTTTTACCCACTGGGATATGTATCGGGCAAATCATGTTGTTACATCAGCCCTCACCGCCGCACTACTGTGTGCCACCTCCTTAGCATTTCTTACCTATACGGGAAGGGCTTTTAGTCCCCTGGGACATTTTGCCATATGTCTGGAAATTGTCCTGCTCATCTATACCGCCTTGCCAATGACACTGTGGCTTAGCGCCCTAATAGCCATAACCTACACCGTACTCTTCGAAGTGGTAACCCACATTGTGGTGGCCGGAAATGCTGTACATGGAGCTCAAGAAGATTTTAGTTATAAAATTCTCGTCCTACGAATTCTATGCCATTTTTGTGTCCACCTGGTGGGCTTACATGTATTGGTAATGAATTTAGTTCGTATGCGTGGTACATTTATGAAGGTCGGTCAGAATCTCCTAGTCAGACGGCAGTTGGAAATGGAGAAGCAATTGAAGGAGAAAATGATACATTCCGTTATGCCACCCAAGGTGGCGGATATGCTGCTCAACGAAGGTGGCATTGATGGTAACAACGATGGCAGTATAAAGCCGGAATCCCACTATATGCGACCAAGACCCTCCAATGATGTCAAATCGTTATTTCGTCCCTTCCATATGCATAGCATGGATAATGTCAGTATCCTCTTCGCTGATATTGTCGGTTTCACTCGGATGTCTTCGACAAAAACCGCCGAGCAATTGGTGGAAATTCTCAATGATCTCTTTGAACGTTTCGATAGCCTGTGCACCTTTAATGGTTGCGAAAAAATCTCCACATTGGGTGATTGTTATTATTGTGTATCGGGGTGTCCAGAACCCCGACCGGATCATGCGATATGTTGTGTAGAGATGGGTTTAGGTATGATTGACGCTATGCGAACATTTGATGCTCAACGACATGAAGGTGTTAAGATGCGAGTTGGTGTCCACACCGGCACCGTCTTGTGTGGTATTGTCGGAACGCGTCGGGTTAAATTCGATGTTTGGAGTAATGATGTGTCCTTGGCAAATAAGTAAGTAACCGGTTTTAGAATATAAGACATTTTTTTTTATTTGACTCTAATATAAATATATTTTTATTGCAGAATGGAATCAACAGGTAAACCCGAGCAGGTTCATATATCCGAGGTAACGGCCAGTTTTCTGGGAGAAGCTTACTATCTGGATGAAGGGGAAGAGGTCTTTGGTAAGCAACATTCATACATATAACATTTTTAATCTGAAAATCGAGTATCCGGTTACCTATTACAGAAAATGGAATAACCGGTTGTAAAATATCCTAATGATGGTCAGAAAATCCAATAAATTAAATATAAACATATTAATTTTTTCTAGACTTGTTAGTCCGAAAACCGATAAAAAAATCGAGTTTAAAATCGAGTATCCGGTTACATAAAACCGAATAATCGGTTATAAGATAACCGAATACTGGTCAGAAAATCAATTAAATTAAATAGCATCATATAAAATACATATTTTATTTTTATTTTTTATTCCGAAAACCGGGTAATCGGTTATAGAAAACCGAATAACCGGTTATAAAATAACCGAATTCAGAAATTCCAATACATTAAATCTTAAAATATAGCATTTTTATATTTAAAATTTTTAGTCCGAAAACCGAGTAACTGGTTACAGAATACCAAATAACCGGTTATCAAATAACCGAATGTCGGTCAGAAAATCCAATAAAATAAATATTACCATATAACACTCTTATTTTTAAAATTTTTAGTCGAAAAAAAGAGTAACCGGTTACAGAAAACCGAATAACTGGTTATAAAATAACCGAATGCCATTCTCATGCCTCTCTTCTCTTCCAGGACATCGAACCTACTTTGTGGTGGGCCGCAGAAAAGATATCTCCCGCACGAATAGCATTTGCCCCAGCATTCATGTCAACTCGAACGGCAGCCATCTCATGTTACCCGGCATACAGGGACAAACCGGATCTCTATCACACAGTGCTACCAATATATCGGTAATACATCCAAATGTACCACCCGCATCACCGGTGGGTCAGCTGTCATCCTCCCTCAATCCTTCACCAGTCCTTTCGATACGACCAAGACTGACATCGTTGAGTATGAAGTTGCGTAAAAAATCACAATCACGCGAATGTGATATCGAACGTGGTATCATTCATCCCGCTGCAGCGGGTATACCACCCGTCATAGTGTGCCGTGAAAGACCAAAGATTATTATTACAACAAAAAGTCTACCGGGTAGTTTAGATTCGGAAAATGATCCAAATGAGGTGGGTAACGAGGAGATTTTGCCCACGGCCAATGGAAAATCAAGGCATTTGACCAATGGTTCCTCGGCAGCTGCGGCACGACCGAAGATACGCCTGAAGGTATGGAAAGTGCCGAGATTTTTAAAGAAATTCGAAGAGAAAACGAAAATGCAGGATAAGTCTACCAGTACCGATGTTAGTATTAGTTTAATGAGTAATGGACCAAAGACGCCAACAACGGCAACGGCGGCGGGATCGAATGAAGAATCGGTGGCCTTTATCGAACCAAATGGCTATCAACAGCTACCGGTGGTAATTGAAAATACCAAATCGAATCCGAACATGTTGGAGATACCACAAAAACCCATGCTACATCATGTGGCCACCTCAACGGCGATCTGCT